CATAATCAAAATTTTGAGAACATGGCAATTAGAAATATTATAGCAGAGGGCTAGTCTAGTATCACGTCTTTATGTGAGACATTATGAATCGTGTCCCATACGCTTCGGGTATAGGATCGATTGCATATGCTATAATATTTGACTGTTCTAAAATTTTCCAAATGCCTAGAGCATTAAGAGGGAAAATGGACTAGAACCGGATTTGACTAAAATGATTAAACAACTGTCAACGGACTATCTAAGATTTCCTAAGGATTTTTCACTTGTGAGTAGTTGGAAATATAGTATTGGATGGACCATATCGACATTATTATGAATAGATAAGATTCTATTTAGAATGAGTTGTCATATGGCAAATATGGAATGTTTCCATAAATGGGAGTTGGATATTAAGAATCTATGTCGAGATTAGGAACTTTTATGCAAGAAGGATGTTCAAAGGAATATACTTTGAATGTGAGACTTCACGTCTATGGAATTGTCTTGAAACAATCTCCGATAGAGAACTTTGTAATTTCATTGGCTGAGACTTGGTGACTTTTGTGCAGTGACATTACGAAAGGATCGTTGCATAAAATGTTAGAATCTAACATATTCTAATAGTGGCAAGAATTTTATATTCTTACACTAACAATGAGTTTTGGGGATTGTGAAATAAGTTTCATTGGAAATGTTTTCCAATTGATCTATTTCACAAAGAAAGGATCATAGGTAAACATAGTGTGCATGTTTGGTGCATGGGACAACTATTGTTATAATTCAAGTGTCAAGTTGATTATCTGAAACAGTATACAATGAATAATGAGTAATCAATATGGTGACTAAATAAAATGTGTTTTATTTATACTCAAAAGTTTTGGGGTCATATAGGATTAAGTATTATTATTGTGTTTCACTTTGCATGTTTTGACTTCCAGAATAACTAGGTTATTCAAACATCCACAGTCGTTCATACATTGGGAGTAGGTATGAAGCAAGACTATCATGAGTCCGTCTGTAGATTGTCTAAAGTGTTTAGACATAGAAAAAGTTTGTTGCAGAGTTCATGAGTGCTTTAATAAGATTAGAGTGTTGGATTAAACCCACGCTCACTTGAATCACTTCATGGATTTTATCACGAGTGATTGTGAGACGATAATATCTTATATTCTTGAAACAAAGATATATGAGTTACAGTTTGCAAATCGGTTGCACATTGATAATACGTAAACGCACCAGTAACTTGGTGTTATAAAACGTATTATTGTGTGTGATTTGATGAGTAAATAGAGCAAGCATATGAGTCGATGTTTATCCGTTCCTTCTACCCAAAGTTGGATAAAAGCGATATCTGTGGGCCCCTCGATGATTTAGTGATGACACCATAAAGTGCTTGGCCAAGCCGGGATTGATTTGATTTGTTCAATTAGTCAGTTGTCATAAATTGGAAATCGGGAAACAGAACATAGACAGAGAGAATGATTAAAATTCATGTCTCGTGTCTATACGATATCTAGAATGGAGGAATATATGATCCCTTATCTAAGGACACGTCAGTGACTAGGTCATAGTTCGACAACGGCTTTTGGTAGCTAAAATTTGCTAGTCAATTTTTGAAGTTATACTTGCAATTATAGTTATTAAACTTATCCAAGTGGGAGACTGTTGGATTAGGTGTCTAAGCCCATAACTATAATTGTTATGTACTTGAATTGATAGTAGCAATGTCCTTTTGGGTTGCCTTCAAACCTGGCAATTGAATAGGATAATTGTTGGAGAGAGAAGAATGATTTATTAATTTATTGCTTGGTTAATAAATTAATAATCAAGATAAATGATTTATTAATGTATTATGGATATAATATATTAATTAGAAATCATATTGTTTAATTAATATTTAATCAGAAATTAATTTGGAATTAATTTTGGGATTAAAGGAATTAATTGAAACTGCAGGGACTAAAGGTGACAATGTTCAAAAGTTGTGCATTGAGCATTCTAGAACCTCCCTTAGATATGGGGAACGAAATCTAGAGTGTCCTAGGGTTTCCTTGGGCTCTAAGGGCGCCTTGGAAGCCTTAAGGAGGAAGTTAAGGGATTAGGGTTATCTAAGATACACCTGCCTTATCCTAAACCTTCCTTATCACCTATATAAACCCCTATAGGGTTGGATTTCGTCCAAGGCACTCCAAGAAAGTCTAAGGGCCGAAATTCTACTCTACTTCTCTCTCTCCATAGTAATCCTTGGTTGCTAGGTTTGTTTGTGAGCCATTAGAGGCGCGACACTTGTGGCGCTTGCTACCAAAGTTCAAGATCTTCAAGGATTTGATTGTTATTACAATATAACAATCAAGGTATGTATCCTAACCCTAATTATATGTTAATTTCAAAAATTACATGTGCCTCCTAGGGTTTCTAGTTTTTGTGTTCAATGCTTGTATGTCTAATAGTGAAAACATAGATTCTCACCTTAGGGTTGCATGCACACATAGGTTTGTTTGTTATGTACAAAACCCATCATAAGTGACTTAGCATTACCCAAGCATCCAAATACTTCTCATTCACATGGAATCAAAACCGCTAATACTGCTCGAAACACCAAAACTGCCTCCTGGCTTCTTTCCAAAATCCTCCGAGACCACCACGGTCCCGTTTTGGCACTAACCTGATGCTAAACTGCATGCTACAGGACTGACTATAGTCTCTCCTCATAACTAGTCTTACGTAACCTACTGATTCCTATTTCCAGCATGTTGTGGCCCTCCCATGACCTTGCGAACTGACCCTCCTTGGTGTAAATCATCTAAAGAAATCCACGAGCACATCGCTGATTTACCATATTCTCATTGCTGAACAGGGACTGGTGAATGCTACGGGTGTAACGCCCCTAGATCTGGGCTAGTCAATTTAGAGACAACGAGCATCAAAAATGAGTTTTTGATGGAAGATTATTTAGAAGGAATAATCTTAACCAAGTGGTATTATATGTTACAAGGGTTCTGTACATATAAAGAACGTTGAAATCCGAGTTATAACGAAGAAGTTATGGCCCGTTGAAGTTTTACAGAAAAACTGACACGGCACCGGGAAGCGTAAATAGTGAATTTACAATAGAGCGACTTTTAGCCTTAGCAATCTAAACGAAAGTTGTAGAGTACATTCCCGCCTACGCGTGGATATAAAGAACGTCGAAAATGGAGCTCGTATGCGAGAGTTATGATTTTTAGAAGTCGGAAAGTGAATTTGTGAAATCTGTTGCAATATCGATGACGTGGCAAAATCCTAGCCATCCATTGCTGATCTCGGTACCAACTTCGGATGTGTGACACATCTCTTTTCATTATGCCCCGCATCCGAGGTCAAGTACACCCAGCGTACTTCGTTCTTGTGTGGTCCGAGAGATAGCCACGTCGCACCAAGCTATTCCGGACACGTGCCTCGTACGAAGCCAGCTGTGGCTCTTATCCGAACTACGCCCAGCGTAGCCGAGGACTACGCCTAGCGTACGTCCGAGGCTAGGCCTATAAAAAGGCTGCAAAGTCAGCCACTTCCTTCACACCTTTCAAATCTTTCTCTCTCTCTCTCTACTTTCTCTCTCTAGCCCCTAAACCCCCCTAAAGTCTAGGTAAACCCCCTAGCACCCGAAGGAAACCCCGAGGCTCCCGGAGTCCCGAGAAAAAGGGTCTTTCGGTTCGGAAACGTTGCTCCAAGCGAAGCCCGGTTTTCGAGAAAACTCGCTGTAAGTGAGCTACGCCTATGCTATTTTTAATATAGCTTCTAATTAATTGAAGTAACATTATTAGGACCTTAAAATAATTATTTGGGCTATTATTATGAGTTATATAAGAGTGTTGCTTAACGTTTATATAATAGTAATAATAGTTAGACTATTAATTAGTTGCGGTTAACGTTAGACTAAATCCTAGTGGTATTGATACTAGGTTTTGTCAAGGGAAAATTGTTTTGAGATAACGAAGTGCTGTCTGAGTCACCACCTTATCAAGTGAGTGCATAGTTACTTTCATCTTACACATAGATATGAAGTATTTTAATATAAATTATGTGCTATGTGTGCATATTGTCTGAATACTTGTTGTCTATGCTGAATGAAACATTTTATACATGTTTTAAAAGATTTAAACTGTATATATATATATATATTTTATATCTGCAAAATATGTTGGGTAAAACATGGGTAGATCAAATATGAATTGAATGTTGAGATAAGAGGTGATATAGACCATGAGATAAGGGTGAGAGGTGAACAATGAGAGAAGCCTTTTACCCAAGCGTGCCCCCGTCATCTAGCAGAGTATGAATGACAACCACAGACTATTCTAGACAGTCCAGTGGAACACTAGCAGGCTCGCAACCTGTAGGTGTTGTGAACGATGTGTTCACCCAGTGTACTCTAAACCTTGGCGATCATGCAGACTTGGTGCCTAAACCTTGGCGATCATGCAGACTTGGTGCCCAAACCCTGGCGACCATGTGGACTTGGTGCCTAAACCCTGGCGACTATGCAAACTTAGTGCCCGTTGTGTAAGCCGTGGCAACGATGGACTTCATGCCGATTCCTTAGGATGATTCTTAGGAATGAATGAACGAGGAATAGTTGATTCTTATGGTAGATCCTTAAGAGTAAATAACATAATGGGGATGGGTAATTGGGTTGATTGTTTGATGTTTAAACATAATAATTATATTATTGTGGGTTGAAAACCATATGTACTCACCAGGTTTCCCAACCTGACCCACTCAGTTTATTTGTATCACAGGTGTCCATATGAAGTTACATTACACTGAAAGATTAAGGGCCTGTTTGGTTGGCAGGATTGTAATGGAATTCGAGGGAAAAGGATTCCAATTCCCTTGAATTCCTGCGTTTGGTTCAACTTTTAGAGAAGGAAAGGGATTCCTAAATGAGAAAACATTCCCTCAATGGAGGGAAATTACTTTCATTCACCAACAGGATGGAATCAATTCCTTGTTAACATGGAAAGTTAAAATTTACCATTATACCCACCAAACCATTCTAATCTTCTTCTCCAAACCACTCGTCTTCTGCAATCTTCCACCAGGTGGTTGTCTTCTCCAATCTTCCACCAGGTTAGTGAATCAATGCCGTTATCTCTCACTCTCGCTATCTTTCACTGTGAAAATCGAGGGGTTTGTTAAACTCGATTTCTCTTCCGTTTTCTCAACCTCGTCTCCTGAAAATTGATTTATTGATAAGCAAATCAATTTATGTTAATCAAATATTGTTAAAATTGTTGTTGCTGTCAATATTTTCTTGATTACAATTTGTTGTTAAAATCAAAATCAATGTTCATGTTTATAAATTTCCGGTAATCGAATACACTGTGAAAATCGTTTATTAAATGAGTTGATTGTGTTGTTTACATACTGTTTTTTTCTTGTTAAGAACAACAAGTTCTTCCTGTTCTTGCTGGAAATCAATATATTTTTTTTTTGCTTGTTTGCTTTTTTAGAAACAGTAATATCTTTAAAAACTGATTATGTGGTTTTAGATATACTTGCTGGAAATTACATTACACCTTCAATACGATATGATTTTGTATGAACATGATAAATTCATATGATTAAGCAAATTAGACAAAAGGGCAGTTCAGTCATTTTTCATGAATTCCAATTCCATTTCCTGCAAACCAAACAGGATATGGAATTAATTCCAATTCCTTTTCCTACCAACCAAACAGCACATGGAATTGGATTCAAATCCCTGACAGATTCATTTTCCAATTCCAATTCCAATTCCTTCAGCAACATTCTGCGAACCAAACAGCACCTAAGGATATGTAAATCACTAGTGATAATGAATGTAAGTTCTGTTTATGCTTATGTTTCTGTATTGACGATGACATCCCAATGTTTTGAAAATGAATAAAACACATTTCTTCGGAAATGCTTGATAACGTATTTATCATGTTTTTTTTCTGGGAACAAATTCCGCAACACTTTTCTTTAAAAGGTTACTCTGATTTTCAAAATAAAGCATAAACAAAATCGGTCTTTTTTGGCCATGAAAATGGGGATGTCACAGTTGGTATCAGAGCATTAGTTTAAGCGAACTAGGAATATGGATTTATTTCTAGACTTAAACTTAGAATGCTAAGCAATGATTGTGAGGAGTGTGTCTAATAAAATTTAGGTAATACACCTGAATAGACACAAGCACTAGCTTATCTAGGGAAAATGCCTAATATGCTTTTATGTGCTAAATGATTTATGATATGCATTATATGATCGAATCTATGGTCTATTGCCGACCGGATCTAGAAACTTTATGTGTTCAGATTTCTAAACGTATAATTACAGTATTAGAACTGGCATGTAACTTTTCGGAGTGATAGGGAAATTTACACGTCGATCGTAAATAAAATCTTTCCTATCTTAATTCTCGTCATTACACACCGAACGTTTGAATTGGTGTATAGATCGAAATGGCAAGAACCCGAAGTGGAGTCGGGAACGCAAATGGAAATAGGAATCAATAGCCCCCAGTGATTGAGCAAATACATGTTGTAGTAGAAGCTGCACCTGAACCAATCACCATGGCTGGAGTACAAGCCATGATTCGGGCTATGTTAGCTGAAAAAAGGGAAGAAATGAGGAGGATGTTACATGAAAATAGGGACGAACCTACCATGACCATTGAGCAACCTGAGCTGATTCCCGATCAATCGGAGGAAGGGAACTATAGCCGCCCTGTGAGTCAAGTTGGGACTCAAGGAGAACGAAGGAATGGCCCGGAGAGGGGAAATAACAAGGATGGATGAATGTATAAGAACTTCTAGGGAGCCAAGCCACCAAGCCTTTCTGGAAGCCCAAAGCCGGTTGAGATTATGGACTGGATCTCCGAAATGGAGATGGTGTTTGAGAGTTGTGACTGTAGCGACAAGCAAAAGACCGTCTTTGCAGTCAGACAACTAAAGACTGGAATGCTAAGTTGGTGGAAGTTGTTGGCAGATACAATGCCACGAGGAGAAGCCATGCGAATGTCTTGGGAAGCATTCGTGGAGCAGTTGAAAATGCAGTACTGCTCATAGATAGATCTGATAGACCTAAACAACGAATTTCAGAACCTGAAGAAAGGAAAGATGAGTGTGGATGAGTATGCCACCGCATTCACCGAGAGGATGAAGCTATTCCCCTACTTGGTGCCTACTGAACTCTCCAAGATCAATAGGTTTGCTAACGGACTGCCCACAGACTTTGGCCCAACAGTCAAAATTGCAACTACCTTGAAAACAGTCGTTAGAGCAGCCAGGAATGTTGAGACCCAGATTAGGGAAAAAGGTCTGGAGAGAGCTGAAGTTGGCCCAGAAAAGGAAGTACGAAGGATCTTCAAAATCCAACAAAGAAAGGAAATTCTCAAAGACTGAAGGAGGAGGAGGAGGTGAAGCTAAGTGGTGCGAGAAGTGTAAAAAGAAACACTTCGGGAAATGTAGCAAGGAGGTGACTTGCTACAAATGTGGAAAGACATGGCATTACGCCAGCAAGTGTACATCCAACAAGAGGGTGTGCTACAGATGTAACAAACAAGGGCATGTTTCTAAAGACCGCCCGAAGAAAAACGAGGCAGCAAGGCCAGAAACGCCACCAAGGCCAAGGTCATTCCACATGATCCTCGACGAGGCAGAAAAAGACGCAAGAAATCGAGGATGAGGAGTTCGTATCCGAAGATCGAGTTATGCAGTAGCCATAGTATTGTATGATGTAGCCTACTAGAGGCATAGTTTAGGGTAAACTTGAACACCTGTGTAATCATTTCAAGGAATAATATAAAACCTTCGTTTTGTTATCTGGTGTGTTAAATTGTTATGTGATCTTCTTATATGGTGACTTGGAAAACTGCGAGACAATACTTGGGACGAGTATGATTAGGTGTGAATGGTAGTAGAGGCCTATACTACCGAAAGCACAGGACTCACACTTGGATCAGGGAAAGTCACAATGTTACCAAGGAGCTAGTAATTGATTCCGTTTTATTTGAGTATGTCGTTACCATCATTTTGGTAATGACTTAGAATATGATTGTTATTTCGACCCTAGTGGTCATATCAAATTGAGTCCGGCTACGATGAATATGTTACATGGTTCAGAGAACCAAGTTCGATGTAGCATCTGACTTAAGCCAAGAAGATTGAAGTAAAATATAATCGAAGCAGTATCGCGCTCATAGTTAAAGAAGTTGGTAGCTAGAAATGCTACATGTTGAAATGTGATTATATCACATTAGAACATGAAGAAAAGTATATTCCATTCCGGAATTTGACTCTAAGAGACCTGAGTCTAAGCGTTGCGACACACGATGAGAGGTCATTGGAACGTGATCCATCGGTCTATTGTGGAAATCAAACAACTTATCTAAAGTTTGTTAAGAAGAAGAAGGAGTCTCCACTAAGGATCGACATTGTGACTTGAAGGTCATAATTTGGAGTCTAACATGATACAGAGAGCGGATTCAAGATCGAGCACCGCCTGCAGTTAAAGAAGTTAATTTGAAGGAACATAGGAGTTACGGTTATTACCTAGGATGAAGAGATAACGCATGGAGTCATTATACAACCCAGTTTCGTTGGCGATTTCGGGACGTAATCATCCTAAGGGGGAGATAATTGTAACGCCCGTAGAACTAGGCTAGTCAATTTAGAGACAACGAGTATCAAAAATGAGTTTTTGATGGAAGATTATTTATAAGGAATAATCTTAACCAAGTGTTAGTATATGTTACAAAAGTTCCGTACATATAAAGAATGCCGAAATCCGAGTTATAACGAAGAAGTTATGGCCCGTCGAAGTTTTACGGCAAAACCGGCATGACACCGGGAAGCGTAAATAGTGAATTTATGATAGAGCGACTTTTAGCCTTAGCGATCTAAACGAAAGTTGTAGAGTACGTTCCCGCCTACGCGTGGATATAAAGAACGTCGAAAATGGAGCTCGTATGCGAGAGTTATGATTTTTAGAAGTCGGAAAGTGAATTTGCGAAATCTGTTGCGATATCGATGACGTGGCAAAATCCTAGCCATCTATTGCTGATCTCGGTACCAACTTCGGATGTGTGACACGTCGCTTCGCATTACGCCCCGCGTCCGAGGTCGAGTACGTCCAGCGTACATCGGTCTTGTGTGGTCCGAGAGATGGCCACGTCGCACCAAGCTATTTCGGACACGTGCCTCGTACGAAGCCAGATGTGGCTCTTATCCGAACTACGCCCAGCGTAGGCGAGGACTACGCCTAGCGTACGTCCGAGGATGGGCCTATAAAAAGGCTGCGAAGGCAGCCACTTCCTTCACACCTTTCAAAGCTTTCTCTCTCTCTCTCTACTTTCTCTCTCTAGCCCCTAACCCCCCCCCCCCCCTAAAGTCTAGGTAAACCCCCTAGCACCCGAAGGAAGCCCCGAGGCTACCGGAGTCCCGAGAAAAAGTGTCTTTCAGTTCGGAAACGCTGCTCCAAGCGAAGCCCGGTTTTCGAGAAAACCTGTTGTAAATGAGCTACGCCTACGCTATTTTTAATATAGCTTCTAATTAATTATAGTAACATTATTAAGACCTTAAAATAATTATTTGGGATATTATTATGAGTTATATAAGAGTGTTGCTTAACGCTTATATAATAGTAATAATAGTTAGACTATTAATTAGTCGCAGTTAACGTTAGACTAAACCCTAGTGGTATTGATACTAGGTTATGTCAAGGGAAAATTGTTTTGAGATAACGAAGTGTTGTCCGAGTACCGAGTCACCACCTTATCAAGTGAGTGCATAGTTACTTTCATCTTACACATAGATATGAAGTATTTTAATATAAATTACGTGCTATGTGTGCATATTGTCTGAATACTTGTTGTCTATGCTGAATGAAAGATTTTATATGTGTTTTAAAAGATTTAAACTGTATATGTATTTTATATCTTCAAAATATGTTGGGTAAAACATGGGTAGATGAAATATGAATTGAATGTTGAGATAAGAGGTGATATAGACCATGAGATAAGGGTGAGAGGTGAACAATGAGAGAAGCCTTTTACCTAAGCGTGGCCCCGTCATCTAGCAGAGTATGGATGACAACCACGGACTATTCTAGATAGTCCAGTGGAACACTAGCATGCTCGCAACCTGTAGGTGTTGTGAACGATGTGTTAACCCGGTGTACTCTAAACCTTGGCGATCATGCAGACTTGGTGCCTAAACCCTGGCGACCACGCGAACTTGGTGCCTAAACCCTGGCGACTATGCAGACTTAGTGCCCGTTGTGTAAGCCATGGGAACGATGGACTTCTTGCCAATTCCTTAGGATGATTCTTAGGAATGAATGAACGAGGAATAGCCGATTCTTTGGGTAGATCCTTAAGAGTAAAGAACATAATGGGGATGGGTAATTGGGTTGATTGTTTGATGTTTAAACATAATAATTATATTATTGTGGGTTGAAAATCCTATGTACTCACCAGGTTTCCTAACCTGACCCACTCAATTTATTTGTATCACATGTGTCCATATGAAGTTACATTACACTGAAAGATTAAGGAGATGTAAATCACTAGTGATAATGAATGTAAGTTATGTTTATGGTTATGTTTCTGTATTGACGATGACATCCCAATGTTTTGAAAATGAATAAAACACATTTCTTCGGAAATGCTTGATAACGTATTTATCATGTTTTTTTTTTCTGGGAACAAATTCCGCAACACTTTTCTTTAAAAGGTTACTCTGATTTTCAAAATAAAGCATAAACAAAATCGGTATTTTCTTGCCGTGAAAATGGGGATGTCACAACAGGCCACCCCGCAGTCTCACAACAGTTTTCGTGCTAACTAATCACTAGTGAATGCTACGGGCCACCCCGCAATCTTACAGCACGCCTACTTTATCTGAAAACTGGTGAATGCTACAGGCCACCCCGCAGTCTTACAACACTGCTCACTAATTGCTAGTTAGTGAATGTTACGGGCCACCCCACAGTCTTACAACACTTCCACTAACTGCTAACTAATGAATGTTATGGCTACCCCACAGTCTTACAACACTCCCACGCTATCTGACCACTAGTGAATGCTACGGCTATATACCCCGCAGTCTTATAACACTTCCCACACTATCTGACTACTAGTGAATGCTACAGCTCCCCGGTATTCTTACAACACTTTGACCCCAACTAAGTACTAGTGAATGCTACGGCTCCCCCATAGTCTTACAACACTTTCACCTCACCACAATCGCAGCCTAATGTCGTACCCCAAAATCTATCAATTCAAATACACTCAGAGTCGAGCACACACTCGACCGAACAAACCAGGCTGAACTCGAGTTATACCTGGGACCCCAACCTGTTTCCCCCAATGCTTGCTATTAAGTTCCAAGAGAACGCGGCCTCAATGTTGGTAAGTTTCCCGAACTTCCAATTCCCACATTCCTCAATCCAGACAACCACTTGGATCGCCCCTTCCCTCCGACGGGGATATGAATCTCATCCACGATTCAAAACCGCTTCTGATCCTGGATACATGCGCGATTCCCTCCCCCCCCCCCCCCCCCCCCCCCCGCTTAGTTTCGACTAAGTCTTCACAACACATAAGGATGGAAGGATTCCCAATCCCTTTTTGCTTTCCAATAGTCGTTCCGATGACATCCAACGATTTCCAATGCTAGTGTTCCATCACTAGACAAACCCCAAAAGACCACACAACATCTAAAGACCCAATGAACACCTCCTGAATCCCAGTGAAACCGAAAGCATATAATACTTGAAATGATACCGTACTCAAATCTTAAAGTCCAAAAGATAGATGTTCCAACCAATACCTCAGCAAGAGCCACTTCCCTTGCCATTTCCAACAGCCACTCCAAGGACAACTACTAATACCACTGAATCCTGACGGTGTTGAATAACTATCCTGCGGACCCTGACCGCAGACCTTCACAGAATGCCCCTGAACCGATCTTGACCCTAACCCAAGATAACACTGACCACTCCAAACTAGATAAAAGGGAAACAACCTTTCACTAACAACTTAGTGATTCACGGTATGCAAATGGCATATGACGATTTTCGAAAATATAACCCGAACAAGAGCAAAAAAAATGAACCGATGTATGCTAACCCAACTGATGCAAGATTCCAACAACCATAAATACTGATATAATTTACCCGATAGAAGGTAAAAAGATGCATACCAACAATACTGCCTGCTGGAGTCCTGACCTCCCTTGTCTGACGCTGCCAAACTCAACTAATCTCCGTTGGGGCTCCTGCCCCATCTTCTCATCCATCGGTGATCCTCAAAGTAGCCAGAATAGACGCACTCACTGCTCCTCCCATCAACATCGGACAATCGGCATTCTTGTGGCCCATCTGCTCGCAGTGAAAGCATAACAAACTTTCTCCCTGAGGACAGTCCTTGGTGACGTGAACAACCCGGCCACAGTTGTAGCAGCCCAGACCCCTGGAATGACAAACTCCATCGTGCAGTTTCCCGCATGTGCTGCACTGACTTCGACCCTACTGGCCTCTCAACCGCTGATCGGAAGTCTTGGGTCTCTTCCCGGGACCCTACAAAATATGCACCTGATCTGACATCCTCTTCTCAATGTGCTCCAAATCAATCTCCAGCTCTCGGGCTCAGGAGATCATATCATTCACGGTCTTGCAAACTGAAATACTCACAAATTTCCTGATATCATTCTGCAGCATATCATGATACCTCGCTTTCTTCATCTCTTCGTCTGCTGCATTTTGCGGTACCAATAAAGCCCTCTCCCGGAACTTGGCAGTGATCTCTGCCACAGTCTCAATAGTCTGGCGGAGATCTAGAAACTCTCGCGCCAACTGCTGCACCTCAATTGCTGGTGCAAACTTAGCTCAGAACCTGGTCGAGAAGTCATCCCATGACATATCCTCAATAGCATCGTCACCTTACTCATTACCAATCTCCTCCCACCAATCTTCTGCCCTGTCCTTCAATAGGCAGGAAGAAAATATGACCTTCTCCTCTTCGGGGCAGAAACTCGTCATGAACGCGTTAGCCATATCTGCTAACCATCTCCTGTTGACAATGTGGTCCCTCTCCCCATCGAACGCAGGAGCTCCACAAGCACGGAACTCCCAGAAAGACAGTATGCGAGCTCTAATGAAAGCCATAACCTCCGCAATGTGCTCAAGCGCTCATCCACTATCTCTAAAAGAACAACATGGTTTTTAGATAATTTATTGCCAACAGCGTTAGAGTTTTAGCCACAAATTGTAGATGGACTTATGAGATAGATGCATGAACTCAGGAAGGAAAGTTCACCTCATACATCCAACACCATATTGCAAGGTTTTATAATTCATGAACTCCACCACTATAGTCAATATTTATCACTTTATTAGCAATTAAAATTATAAAAACATTTGTAACTCCCAAGAAACAATAAATTTATATTTGTTCATAACTTCAAGTAAAGGGATAAAAAAACAATTTCCAAAGGAACGTGATTCCTTCATTTTGTTAGCATTCAGGGGTTGATATTATTTTTCATTCCAGCCTAAAAATTGCAATAAAACCCATTTCTATTTAAGTTTTTTTATCACAATTTTTTTAAAGGTTATATTATTATTGTAAAAAAACGAAAAATGTTGTTCTTATTGTAACTTATTTGGGCTTTAAAGAAATTTTATTATGTTTTATCTTTGTAAATAAAAGTTTGTTGATTTACTCAGCCAAGTTGAGTACACAGCCAAGCTGATTCTTAAGATGGTTTTATATAAGAAACAATGCATTCTTAAAATATACCGAGTAAGATTAGTATAAAACAAAGAAATTATACAAAAAAATGAAAATGCATATATACCATGTAAATATTTTTTCATTGCCTCGGCTTTTATGAACCCCATGGCCTTTTTCAGAGGTATGGACTGAAAAATGGTGACACACACTTAAACATGAAAAATCGAGTACATCTTGAAAGAGTTCAAGGAATATGGAGGCATGTAGCAAGGCTTATAGTTAACAGAGTAAAAACAAAGGATACTTCTCAAAGTCTTAATAGCATTGATTGTGATTAGCTCAACATCAATTTCCAAGATTTCTAATTCATCTGCACCACCATAAATAGCAGGATATCACATCAATTCAAGATTTTACCTGTGTAAATATAGCAATCATTTGATCCATGAAAGAGCCATAATTGCAGGAAAGTTGATTGTTTCTAAAGAAAATTTGGAACATAAAAAAAGTAACTTTTATTATCATTAAGATGTAACAGTTAATATAGTTCAAGAGACTCACGTTTTGGAAGCTAGAACCCCTTAAACAACAACCAGTCCACTTGTAGGAAACAAATATGAAGAATCAAGTAAACACCCTTTGCTGCCCACCATTCATGACAACTTATCTTTTGGTTATGTTTTTTAATCATGCTTGTACCTTACTTTGTTCCCTTTACTAATCACAATCACATGCAAAAAGCTAAAATTTCGATAATAAAATAGGCAAAAATGACTTGTTTTGAAAATAAGCTTTGTAGAAAGTGACAAACCTGAAAATACTACTATTGTTTGATAATGGTACACTCAATGAAGCTCACATGAAAATACTTATCGAGGGAAAGAGAGATGGTTAGTGCACACTTGGTGAATGACCAATTAAAAAAAGTAATGACAAACCTTTATAGTTGATGAGATAGATACTGATATTTCTTCTATACCCATCCGGAGGAGCTTCCATGGAAGACGACCGGAAGCACATGTAACAATGGAACATGAGTCATATCAGGTAACAGCAACAGAACCAGAAGAAGATAAAGGAATTTCTACTTGAAAATTATACAGTACATAATTAAATACATATGAAATCAATTATAGAAACATAAAAACTTCGATTATACCACAAAATTGAATATGCAACAAAGCAAATTGATAGGATAGTGGGGCAGAGACTGGGGAGATAGCAGGAAACAACCAAATAACCCTTAAATCAAAACCATAACAGGAAATTTTATAAAAAATAGCATGGTTGACATAATTATAATAAATGTTAGTTGAGAAAACTACATCAGGATGTCGAAAATTGATAATATGTGAACATTGCACAAACTACACAAAAGTGAGGCATTCATGTTGGAGAAGAAAAAATTAGGGATTACGATTACCTGGGTGGAGATATGGAGCGTACAAAATGAGAGTGGTGTAGAAAACACACTCGTGAACAAATCTATAACATGAACCCAATAAAGTGTATGTATGCGTCTTTCCCATTGATGCAGTAGATAGAAAGAGAAAGATAAAGAAGGAGGGTCGTTCCCTCAATTCCTCAAACAGTAGTAGAATTCAGGGCTTTGTTCATCAAAATTGAAACACGAACACCATAACATAATCAATTATAAGCAGTAATGAGGAGAAACAAAGAATTCTAGTGGAAGGTGGAAAGAACTATCTGCGATTTCAATTCAAAGCAATTGATTGAAACATTGAACCATTTACAGTGAAACTGAAGACTTATATAGGCGGGAACAGAGATCGTGGTGGTGCAGTTACCGATTTAGATGGAATAACACTCCTTATCAAAGAAAGCACCACACGCGATTGAGTTGTGGGCAACAAAGCCGGAGAAGACAACCGCCATGTACGTGGGGGAGAAGAAGGAGGAATCAGGGGACGGCCTAATGTGATTAACCGCCGATTTTGAGTTCACGCGGCTCAGATCAAAAGTTACGTGAGTTTTAACGGCTGCGGAGATCAAAAGGTGCTTGCGTTTTAACGGCTACGATTATGGACGATGGTTTTCCATTCACCGTCGTCCATAGTATTAATAATTTGCGCCTTCTTGTTATAATACTTTTGTTTATCAAAAATAGACCTCATACATCACTTTATTGATATGGAATCCAAATTATAAAAATGGCCTTTATATTATTTTTTATTATTCACAAATCATCCAAATTATAAAAATTGATCTTGGACTTTTTTTGCTTTTTAACACACTAACAAAACATTCATTTCATTTAAAATTTTGGTGTTTTATGGCCAATAACATGGATAACTTTTCTGTTTATATATGAGATTTTCTATATTTCATTGTCTTGTCTTTTAATATATAATAACTATTTTTTCTATAGATTTATTAGCAAAAATCTTGGTAACCTACCAGTTGGCTAGATTATACTTCAAGTTTAATTTTTTTATTTTATAGTTTCTACCTACATAAGATTTTTTTTCAAACACACATTTTTGTTTTTTTCCAAACACCAACCATATGGTTTTTCAAAATGGTTCGGTTGTTCCATTGTTCGTTATTTTTTTATTTTGTTTCATCATTGGCTTTTTGAACTCATCCTTTAAACATATTATATATATATATATATATATATATATATATATATATATATATATATATATATATATATATATTGTAACATCCGGATTCCCAGGTATATTAATTAATTATTCATTTTGGAAATCTATTGAGCAACTCGACGAGTTGGTGCTACAACTCGTCGAGTAGAGTCGTGTATGGCCACATGGGATTAATGACCTACTCGACGAGTCAGAGAGTCGACTCGCCGAGTAGACGCTGTGTGATGAAACCCTAAATCCCTGAGTTTGGGGCCTATTTAAGGACACTTATAGCCTCATTTGCGGCTCATCAGCTGTCCAACTTCACTGAGAGAAAACCCTAGTCGGCCAATGAGATAAGAGTGAGTATTTGAGCTAACTTTGAGTGTTTGGTGCATCTTTTGAAGAGAAGGGAAGGAATCCAAGCCAAGGGACGAGAAGAGGCTATTAGATCTATGGTTATTTCATCCTAGAGCTTCTGTGAAAGATAAAAGTTCGCACCTTTCTCATTTTATTGAGTAGATCTCATGAGTTTGGGGAGTTTAGGGCTTTTTCCATCTTACTTTAGGACTTCGGGTGTTTTGAGTTCATATAGAGGTTTGGACCTCAGATCTGGACCATGTGAGGTCCCTATAGTCCAAAGGTTCCTGCTTTATTCAGCCATAATAGAGCTCTTAAGTGAAAAACCCATAATAAAGCATGTTCTTGGCATTTCAAGCCCTAAGTGCCATGCATGGACATAAAGCTCGTGGCTTTACGTGATAAACGAGCCTTAAGAGTTTAGATCTAGAGTTTGGGAAGGTTTTCTGCCTTGAAATCGCCTCAATGAGAAAAGAGTTCGAATAAACTCGCCGAGTCAATGAGCTGAATCGACGAGTCGGTTAGGGTTTATCCCGATGAGCATGATCATGCGATAGCTCGGCGAGTTGGGGGTCAACTCGACGAGCTGAGTTGAACCTTCACGAGATTTCTAAGGAAAACGAGTGGACTCGACAAGTCACATGAGTGCACTCGGCGAGTCGAGTCAAACATGGACTGTTGACTCGAGTTTGATTTCTATTGACTATAGGGTTTGGTAAAATAAGGGTAGTGGAGACCATGGAGGGGTAAAATTGTCATTTGCCCATACCAAAAGTTAGAGAGAGAGAGAGGACAACCCTTGGTATATTTTGAACATGAGTAGAGTATTTATTAGAGATAATTATCCTATATGTTAGGCGGAGGCTAGTTCGAAATTTCCGGGTGCGAGACCTTTACTTGCTTACGAGGTGAGTCTTCTCACTATACTTACCATGAGTGGTATCTTTGTGTGACTTAGATGTCTTATGTGCTTATTTGTGTATTGTGATATTCTGCATTATGTGTTTGTGATTTATGTTGAGTATTATTACTATGTGCTTATTGAGTTAGGACTGGAGGGTCCACCCGAGTGTGGGACCGGAGGGTCTCCACTGGAACACATTAACCGGAGGGTCGTATTGAGTTAGCCTCGAGTGGCTAACGCGATGTGTGTGGTATTTTTGGGAACTCACTAAGCTTCGTGCTTACCGTGTTACGTGTTATGTGTTTCAGGTACTTCCGAGAATCGCGGGAAGGCCCCGGCTTGATTGTGCACATACACTCGTATTGGAGATATGTTTTGGAGGATCCTGGACTTGTGATAAACAATTTTTGAAAAATGTGTTAATGTTTGATACTTGAGATTTTTTAGATATGTGACATGTGTTATTATGTGTTTGAAAATGAAAATTTTGGTTTGAAAATTTACGTCGTTACAAGTTGGTATCAAAGCCTTGGTTTGAGGGATTCGGATGCACCTTCGGGTGTGTTTTGACTCAAACTGAGGATTTGAGAAAATTTTTCAAAAGAAATGATTTTCTAAAACGAGAAAGAGTTTTAAGAGAAAAGGAGGTGGAGCAGTGTGTACAATCAGCCAGAGCCCGAACGGTGATTTCCTAAAATACCCTTACTTATTCGTGTTATGAGATAATTATATGATATTAGAAATGCATGCTAGAGAATAGGCTAGGTAATTTATATTCTAGGGCTAGAGTTGCCTGATTTTTGATGCCTTAGCCTAGGAGATGATATTGATCCGTGTTATCTAATATTTCTCTGAGTATGTGTCGAGTTCTGAGTTAAGGAGTAATCTACGGGAGATACTTAGATGAGCATGTGAGTAGCCTGAGAGAGTAGTCCGATATTTTTGAGAAATAGAGTACTTGTGAGTTAGAATCCTAGGAGGAGGACTTGGGGTGACTACAGGTTTGGTATGGAAGGTAGTATTGGGCCCGTACTACTGAAAGCACCAGATCTGCGGGCAGCCTGAGTAAGAATCCTTAGGATGCTAAGGCGCAAGTAGGGGTGAGTGATCGAGTGTGAGTATGCTCGAGCGAGTCTCTGATGATTTTGTGTTGTGTTTCAGAGACATCATGGTAGTTACACGCCACACCCCAGAGAGCAGTGGAGTTAGCGATGACGAGATTCGCAGGATGATTCATGACGAGGTGGCCGTAGCCATTCGAGAGGCTATTCCGGAGATGTTTGGGTCTATTAAGACCATTCTGATCGAGACATTTGACGAGCGATAAGCTGTTGTGTTCCGAGGCGGCTGCTGCTGCAGCTACAGCAGCTGTCGTTGCTGCCAGGCCACAGGGGGTGACTTGTTGTTGTATCGGGAGTTCAGCAACACGAAGCCACCAGAGTTTGATGGGACTCGGGAGCCAATTGCTGCGATGAGGTGGATCTCTGATATCGAGGGATGTTTCTATGCTTGTTCATGCCCAGAGCATTTGATGGTACAGTTCGCGTTGAACCAGCTTCGCTTGGGAGCGAAGGACTGGTGGAAGTTTGCGACAGCCAGTTTTACTCCTGCAAAGCATACTAATGGGTTTTATACAAACAATCCTATGTGTGCATGCAACCCTAATTGGATCTATGTTTTCACTATTAGACATACAACTTTATGAACACAAAAGGAAACCTAGCATGCATCTACTATTTTCGAAATTGACATAGGAGAATAGAATACATACCTTTTGTTGTTATATAGTAATAACAACTAATTCCTTGAGTTTCCTTAGCTCTTGAAAGCAAGTACCACAAGTGTAGTACCTCTAATGGCTCACAAACACACTTTGAGTGGGAGGATGAATATGAGAGAGAGGAGGAAGGGTACTAAGCTCCAAAATTCGGCTCTAGTAGGGTTTTCCCAAGGGGTGGCCGAATTCTAGTGCCTTAGGGTGCTATTTATACTTGAGGCTAGCTAGGGTTTCAAGGTGGAAACCCTAATCCCTTAGCTTAGGGCCTAAGCAAGTCTATGGACTCCTTTCCTTAAGCCCTTGGACAAAAACTCCTAGATCCTTCTAGGATTTTCGTTCAAGCCTTAATAAAGGTGATCCAATAGCCCAAAGTCTCAACTATCAAATAATTACAAAACAGCCCCTATACTTTTAATTAATTCCTTTAATCGCGAAATTAATTCCTAATTAATTTCTGATTAAATACTAATTAATAATATGATTCCAAATTAATATATTATTCATATAATATATTAACAAATCATATTTATACCCCAATTTATTATTCTTAACAATAAACCAGCCTCTCTCCTCAACAGTCATCCTGTCTAGTCACCAGTGTGAAGGCAACCCAAAAGGACCATGCTCACAATTGGGTCAAGTACATACCAAAATAGTTATGGACTTAGACAGTAATCCAACAGTCTCCCACTTGGATAAGTCTAATAACTATTCTGCGTATGACTTGAGAACCTGATTAGCAATCGTAGCTTTCAAAAGCCGCTGTCAACTCTGATCTTATCAGAAGCGTGTCCTTTAGATAAGGGATCATATATTCCTCCATTCTTGATATCGTATAGACGTGAGACATGGATTGAAATCATTCTCTCAGTCTATGTGTTGTTTCTTGATTTCCAATTTACGACGACTGACAACAGACTACAATTGAACACATCAACTTAGTCCCGACTTGGCCAAGCGCTTAGGTATCATCACTAAATCATCGAGGGGCCCACAAATATCGCTTTTATCCCACTTTGGGTAAAAGGAACGGATAAACTTCGACTCAATGCTCGCTTGTACTCACTCACCGAATCACACACAACAATACGTTTTATAGCACCAAGTTACTGGTGCGTTTACATATTATCAATGTGTAACCGACTCGCAAGATACAACTCACACATCTCAGTTTCAAGAATATAAGATTTAATCGTCTCACCAATCACTCGTGATAAAATCCATGAAGCGATCCAAGTGAGCGTGGGTTTAATCCAATGCTCAAATCATATTCGTAAGTACTCATGAACGTTGCAGCAAACCTTTGCTATGTCTAATACACTTTAGACAATCTACAAACCAATTCATGACAATCTTCTTTCATACCTACTCCCAAAGTATGAGCGACTGTGGAACGTTCGAATAATCTTATTATTCAGGAAGTCAAAACATGCAAAGTGAAACACAAGAATAATCGAAC